AGAAACAACATACATGGCTGTAACAAGATGCAATGCATATATTAACAAATTAACAAGGGCAACAAACAGTGCTCTGATAACATATGAGTTAAGAGGAATATAATATCACTGGGCATCATTCAAGAGAAAGAAACATTAAAATTAACAAATAGAATTAGGGAAACTGGCTAAACCAGTTCATTAGAACAATGTTTCTCTGGAGGTTATCTAAATGTTAACCATAGGGACTTGAAACACGCACATTGAACATAGTTTAGAATGCACCACCAACATCTGGGCATACAAACCAAATGATTACAGGAGTAAATACCACAACCTTGAAGAAACGTCAAGGCTTGGAATGTTGGGGGAGGTGGTTTTTCTGTATATTAAAAATTAATTGTGATAGATGAACTGGAAAACAACATGAGTGCCATGGAAATGAAAGTAAGTGCCGACACTGGTGCAAAATATGGAGCCATGCTACCATTGAAGAGAAGCGACAGATAAACTAGACAAATAGCTCATGGGCATAATAACTGTGATTGAAGAACAGACAATTTAAGTATGATTTACAACAGATGCGACAGGACATCACATTGGCACAGCAGGATATTTAATTTGCTCAACAAAGCATAGAAACAGCTCAAAATGGCCTCAGAGTTGCTCGTCAGGAATTGGAGATGCAGCTGGTGGCAGTGAAAGCCCAAACAAGAAATGAAGACAGGAATTGGTACAGATATATTGAAAGAATTGATGTTTGATGGATTCAGATCCTGAACATTATTCCATTGCCAATTTTAGTCCATCACCAGTCAGAACAGTTCTGCATCCTGTGAGGGGCAACTTAGGGCAAACAGCATAAAGGTGGGAGCTATGTTGCAAACCTGCAGAGTAATAATGTGTGCCCAGCTGACCCCCCATGTAGTCACCCTAATCTGCTGCATTCTCCATCATCTGGAATCTTCTATGAGGTTCTGAATTTTATCACCAGACTTTCAGTTTCTTAGGTGGATTGAACATTCAGAGGCTCTGTTGATCAATTACAGAACTTCAAAATGCCTGATGCTTGACTTAGGAACTTTGTTATTACAACATCATGCAAAGTGTGCTACAGTAGTGAATGGGCCATGTTGGCAAGATTTAGATGGAAAACAGTGTTGTAAGCTTCATGAATATGTGCAGGATAAAGTGAACAAGTGTGATTTAGAGACTGACACACTGAAAGGCAGGAAGAATGCATCTTCCCTGTTCATATTGTCAGGATGGAGCTTGACCTCTGTCATGCCCCTTATGATACAGTACATCTATCTTGACTTCTTGATCAGAATACTGGCATTCTTTAACTGTATGTAATAGCGTAAGTTGATGCTACGTTTTGTCACTGCAGATTTCGTGGGATGGTGCAGACAGATGTGTCGGTGATGCTCTTTAACCCTTGTATCAATCAAAAGTCCAGTTTGTCAAATATACATTTTCCCACACTTGCAGGGAATGCTGTAAACACCTGGCATTATTAGTCTCATTCTTAATGGGTTGAAGAAAGCTGGAGAGCTTCCTTGGTGGGAGACTTACTGTCTTGATGTTGTGTTTAGATAGCACCCTGCTGATGTGATTGAAAGTAACACAAAGAGTAAAAACATTACTCAAGCAGGATCCTCACTATGTCCTTGTTGTCTTTCTGTCTTCTTTTCCCCTCTTACTGCAAAGTAACTCAAGCTTGGATTTATTTTGCTTTCATTGCTGTAGTGCATGTAATAAATCCATCAGCTAAAAAGAACCCACTGTGTAATAGACTATAGATAGTAGAATGATGAAACTGCCA